AAATTTTCAGAAAAAATATTAAAATAATAAAATTTTAAATATATATTTTTTTTATTTTTTAGAGGTGAGCGAATAACCGCTGACACTTTCGGCACAAATTTAGAAAAAAAAAATTTAAAAGCATTCTGAACTGAAAGAAGACAGGCACTGTTGGAATTTAAATGGTTGTAAGGTTAAGGACAACAGGCTTTTATACAGCTAGAACAAGAAATGACCTTTGTACAGTTATGGAAGAAAGACCTAAGACAGTAGCAAGCACGGCAGGGGCAGCAACATGAATCTCCCTTACAATCAGGACATTTCAGACAACAAGTTTTCTCCGAGCAGCAGGCATGGATGCATGACGAATTACACGATATGCAATTTGTAAAAATGTTCAATCTTTTAAAGCGAAGTCGGAAGGTAGTACAGCAGCAGATCCATGAGAGATTCAAACAACAGTTTCCCCTGCATCTCAGAAAGAGTAATGCATTATTGAACCTGATTTACCAAGAAGGCATGAAGACCACACTTTTGATAACGAGAATATACAAAGAGACATAAGAATGTGCCTAGCTCGACGAGCTAACAGTTTATAACTAAGCCATGGAGAAACAGCAAAGAGAAACATACCAGAAGCGCTTCCAGAAGGAACAGGATTTATGGACTTCTGGAGTTCTGTTTGAAAGGAAAAGTAATTGTACAATTTCAGGGAAGCCAAAATAATAGAGAAGCATTATGAACAGAACAGAAGGGAAATCAATTATACCGGGCAATAAATGGATCTGGTTTAGCCCCAACAAAGTCATCAACCCTAACAAAGTCATCAACCCTGTACGTTCACAGTGCCATGTCAAATCTCAGATTGAATCCTAAGACTACAAAACATGCCAATTAAATGGACAGAAATAAGAAGTTGGGACATGTATACTCTTTGCAGTATCTAGAAGCTCGTTGAATGTGCTCAAGGGATTTTAACTCTTCCTGCTTGCAAGAAAATTCAAATTAAGCACTGTCATCTAAATTGATCTCTTCATTTCTATAAATCACAAGAAGCAAAGCCATTTACAGGATCTTTCATCTTTAAGAGGACAAGTCCTTCCCAAATATCAAATTGTGTCATAAAATTAGGTCTTGATTATGGAAAGAACAATAATTGAACGAAGTCCCCTTATTTGAACCCAGAATCGGGGTGTTGAAGACAATGGGTCACTGAATATATGATTTGTCCTACAACTTCAGGATCATTCTCCTATTTTTGTTTGTTGTTTCACCAAATATCAAGCAGTACTTTGAAACATCATCCATATATTCATGCGAGCAAATTTTCAAAAAATAGAGAGATGCTACTTTGGCCCCCCAAAAGAGAGACACACAGATTTTAGCAGGCAGCAGCTTCCATTTGTTCCAAGATAAAATGGAGAAGATACTGAAAACCCAAAAACCAACCTGAAGATGATGAACCTCCCTCTCCAAAGCCTGAACCTTGACCATCTGTCTGCGCTTGCCGTACAGATCCAGACT